CCATCCTCCTCTTGTCCTCCCCAGCCCCAGAGGAATCGCAGGGCCTGTGGCCCTTGACTGCCACCCTTGACACCAGACCCTCCTGAGCCACCACCTTCTGCCACCTGACCTCCGGAGACCCACCTCAGCCCTGCCAGAGACAGGGACAGTCTGCTCAGAGCTCCACCCCCACGCTCCGGGGCCCCACCTGCCCATCCCCCTCCGGCAGAGACCTTCGCCCCACCCCGAGCTAGCCTAGACCTTGGGGACGCCCCAGGAAGCAGGGAGCTGGGCCGGCTGGTGCTCAGGGCCTCCCAGCCCTGACCGTGGACTATGAACCTTCCCACAGCACTGGGACAGGGAGGGGGGCGGGGCGGTTCCTGCAGGCATCCAGGTCCAGGACCAGGCATGGAGGCTGGGAGGTAGTGCCAGGGACAGTGAAACCATAAAGATAGTCACCAAGACCAGAGGACACAAGAGAGAGAGGCCAGAGAAAGACCAGGGATCCCTGCTGGGATCCGGCACTGACATCACCATTAGATCCCAGCAGCCCCATTGTCCTGATGGCAAAACTGAGCCAGAGGAGAGAGAAAAAGTGAACTTCCACCTACTGGTTCATTCCCCAAACGACCACAACAACCAGGGCTATGTCACATCAAAACCATCTAGGTCTCCTGTGTGGGAAGCAGGAGCCTATGAGCTTGGCCCATCCTCTGCTGCCTTCCCAGCAGCATTAGCAAGGGAGCTGAGGCAGGGCAGCCAGGACTCGAACTGACGTCCATACGAGATTCTGCTATCACAGGTGGTGGTGGTGGTGGTGGTGGTGGTGGCTTAATTGCTGCATCATAAAGTGACCCCTTCTGGGAGATCTCATGAATATCCAATTTCAAAATGTTTTGTATCAAAATGAATTTCTCTTTGGAATGTATCCATTCTATCCCAGAGACAGAGCGAAAGTTTCCATCCATTGCTCAGCTCCCACAAATACCAATCACAGCCACTGGGCTGTAAACGGGAGCCTGGGTGACCATTGGTGTGTCAGGGACCCAGCTATCTGCACCATCGCCATGGCTGCCTCCCACGGTGAGTTCTGGCAGGAAGTTGGAGCCAAAAAACAGCTGGAACTTGAACCCAGACCCTCCCATCTAGAACATGGGCGTACCTTCATCGCTACACCAATATCCCTGCCCCTAAACACAGTTTTTAATTCCCTGTTGCCAGGAACTTTCTTGAAGTGCTGCGCTAGTCTCTAGGAAGAAATGAGGCCTCAGGAGAAGCCTGGGACAGACCGGGGTTCTGGAAGTTGAGCTGGACAGGAAGCAGAAGACAGGTGTGGGGCCCCAGGGAGTGGGGAGGTCTAAGAGGCACTCCCAAGGTCTCTCCAAGAGGTGCTTACAGAAGCTAGGTCCCTGTAGTTTGGGCTTGGGGCAGGAGCTGGCTGGAAGTGGTACTTGGCACACACTTTCAAGGGGGGTGCATTGTGGAGGGAAGAGGTCGCCAGAACCAGATCTGGAGCACCCCTTTATCTCCTGGGTTACGGGGTCGTGTAGGGAGCAGCCACGTTGAGTTTTCTGGCTCTTCCTCACGAGTCAATCCCTGACCTTCTTCCTTGGGCACTCAGTGCCAGCTGCACAGTACTGAAATAGTCCAGGAACACAAATATGGGGGCATCTGCCACCCACAGCCACCCACCCCAACAGCCTGGACCAAGGAACCCCTGACCACAGTGCCTGCAAAGCAGGGCAGACCTGAGTGAGGGCTGGCTCCTGCAGCTGGGCAGGACATGGGGCAGGTGCATTCCTTGCTGCCTCAACTTCCCCCGTGGACACCCTAGCCCCTGTCTTCTTTTTAGAGCTGCAAGCTTGGGCCCCATCTGCCTTGCTTCCACCTGCAGTGTCTCCTGTGTGTGCCAGGCCCTGTGCCAGGTGTATCCTCAGAGACTCACCCCAGCAGGGGAGGGCATGGGTATACAAACAGTGCATGGAGTAGGGGGGATCCCTGAGTGGGTCAGCTTTGAGAGACTGTATTGGACACAGACTGGGGCAATGGGTTAGGGCGAACTGCTTTGATGCCGCTGAAGCTGCAAATTCTCTCTCTCTCCTCTCTCTCTACTATTTGCTTATTTACTTGAAAGGCAGAGTTAGAGAGAATCTTCCATCTGCTGGTTTATTTCCCCAAATGGCCACAACAATCAGGAGTGGGTGGGATCAAAGCCAGGAACTAGGAGCTTCTTCCAGGTTTCCTCCGTGGGTAGCAGAGACCCAAGCACTTGGGCCCTTCTCTGCTGCCTTTCCAGATGCCCTTAGCAAGAAGCTGAACTGGAGCAGCCACAGTGTCAGCCCCCTGGAGCCAAGATCTTAACTTGACCCAAACAAACAAACAAACAGGCCACAGCATTCCAGAGGAAGGAAACAGAAAGGTGAAGATCTTGTGCTAGAAGGAAGCCTTGAGCATTGATTGGGAAAGCTCCAAGAGTGTCCAGTGTGGCGGCAGGTCCCACGACAGGGAGGGGTGAGGTGGAGACTGAGAAGGGGCCCACGATGCCAGCCCCAGCCCTTGCACTCATGGACTCCATGACTTTGGCTAAGATGCTTCTGCTTTCTGGAGCTTTCTCATCAACCAGGATGCCCTCATCCGTTCTATCCGGATGCCCGAATGTTCCAAGGCTCAGCCCGCATTCTTCCCACCGCCCTTTCGTGTGCGCGTCACCCAGACCGTTGCTCAAACGTCACCTTTCCAGACAGCCCCGGGGCCACCCACAGTGCCCTGCGGCCTGAGGCTCTCTTGCATCAGCTCCCTCCCTCCCTGTATTTTTTTGGCTGAGCTCACGCTGCAATCTCAGATGTGGCTGTTGGCTCCTGTGCTCGCTTGCCTGCTGTCTGCCCCTTGCCCCGGAGTTCTCCGTCTCCAGGGGACGTGAACTTGTCGGCCAAACTGCAGAGGCGGAGTAGGGGGTGGGGGATTGCGAGAGGGGTATGGCGGGAAGATGCTTCCACCCTGGGAGTCTGACCATGCACACTGCCAGCTAGTGGGTTCCGAGCCTCAGTCTTGCCATCTGTCGAGTGGGTCCGCCATCTGTTGTGGATCCTCATCGTTGCTGTGGCCAAGTCCTGCTCCCATCCTAACGCCTCATTCCAGGAAGTGGGCATGGCCCGAGATGGACACCCTGTCAAGTTCATCTGCCTCTATGCGCCCTTTCCTTGTGGCTGTTACCTCAGCATGTCACAAGTTCAGAAGTGCCTCCTTTGAGGAGGGAACCCTGGGTGTCAGGAGCGAGGGAATGATTCTGGTGTCTTGGGGGCCAAACCCCCATTCTCCCACCCCCCAGAGGTTTTCAGGAAACAGCTGGAAGAAACACCCTGAATATGCTCAAAGTCATAGGCTTGGGGCAGGCACGATAGCTCAACTGGCTAATCTTCCACCTACAAGTGCTGAGATCCCATATGGCGACTGGTTCATGTCCTGGCTGTGACTTTAAGAGTATGTATATTAGGACCTGGCACAGTGGCCTCATGGCTAAAGTCCTCACCTTGAACATGCCGGGATCCCATATGGGTGCTGGTTCTAATCCCAGCAGCTCCACTTCCCATCCAGCTCCCTGCTTGTGGCCTGGGAAAGCAGTCGAGGATGGCCCAAAGCCTTGAGGCCCTGCGCCCGTGTGGGAGACCTGGAGGAGGTTCCTGGCTCCTGGCTTTGGTTAGGCACAGCACTGGCCATTGCACTCACTTGGGGAGTGAATCATTGGATGAAAGATCTTCCTCTCTGTCTCTCCTCCTCTCTGTATATCCGAGTTCATAATGAAAAGAAATGAATATATATATATATATACACACACACACACACACACACCTATATATACTTAAATATATATAGACGGCTTTGGCCATCCCCCCAGGGCATAAGCAGGGAGCTGGATGGGAAGTGGAACAGCCAGGATTTGATCCAGCGCCCCCGTGGGATGCCAGTGTTACAAGCAGAGGATTAGTCTGTTGCGCCCCCACACGAGCTCCTGAGCTAGGATTCTGACTCCAAGGCTGGGTCTCCACCTACTCTAGCTGTCCTGCTATTCTGTGCACATAGCCAACCAGGGGACACTTCTTCACGGGTGTCTGCTGCGTGCCCACGTGTATCCAGCTGGGAGCTGGCAGACTGTAGTATGGCTACGAGCATATATCTGTTCATGCCACAAAGGCTGAGACGCACCCTGTGTCCTGCACACTGCACACGCCTGAGCCCCTCCAGCAGGGCCCTCAAACACCTACACACACAGGACACAGGTGTGTGCTCGCACCTGCGTGGCCCTTGGGCAGACATGTGTCCGTGCACACATGCACTCTCAGACACAGACCCGTTAGGACAACTGACATCCAGGCTCCAAGATGACTCAGGACAAGGAAGTGTTATGTGGCAGAGCGGGCTAAGCCACCTGTTGCAACACGAGAATCTCGGGTGAGCCCCAGCTCAGGTCCCGGTTGCTCCAGTTTCCAACTGGTTCCCATGCTAATACACCTGGGACAGCAGTGAAAGATGGCCCACGTGCGTGGGCCCTTGCACCCACACGTGGGAGACCATGGATGGAGCTCTGGGCCCCTGGCTTTGACCTGGTCAAGCCCTTTGCAGAATGAATCAGAGGTTGGAAGATCTGTCTTCCTCTCTTTCAAATAAATAAATCTTATAGTAGATATATGTGACGCATGAAAAATACACACACAGCACCTATACCCCATCACACACAACCTGGGGAGCCCACAGGCAGCCTGCACCCCAGCTTCCCTCACTCCTTGTTCCAAGACATGAGGGGACACCCTGCTAGGATAAACCCAGCAGGTGTGAGGTGTCCCTGGGACCAGCACCCCGGCTGTGTGGTGCATGTGGCTCACCTTCCCAGCCTCCAACCACCTCAGAGCCCCGAACACCCCTGACCTCACCCTCCAGGACCCTCCCCCTTGTCAAAGTGGCCAGCACACCGCCCCCCAGGCCCCCAAGACAACACAAGGACACACGAGCTTTAGAAACTGGACACGTTTTAAATATATGTTAGCACAATATTAACATTAAATATGCATCATAAATAGCCATATAAATATAAAATTGATTAAAAACTGATATAAAAAAATCAATAAATTAGTCACATCACTCCAAGAGTCAGCTTCTGGGACCCGCTCCTTCACCCCCCAAATCAAGAGGGAGTGGGTTCAGCATGAGAAAATCCCATGATGTGCCGCCAGGGGGAGCACCAGCTGCTTCTTGGCCTCTCACCCCATGGTCATTGGCATGCATGTTCAGGTTTGCCCAGCGTTGGTTTTCCACCCTGGGTCTGGAAGTCCCAGCCACTGACAGGCAGAGGAGGGCCTTGCACGGGCTCTGCATGCCGCCACTGGTTTTGCTAAGAGCCCAGAGAAAGAAAATGGCCTTGCTTGGGGGTTACCCAGAGTTAGGGTTAGGGGCCAGAAGCTGGAACCCCTCACCCTGAACCAGCTGCCTTATAATGAGGTCATGCAGCCGTGGCAGGGGTCTGACCTGAGACGTAATCAGGCATAGGAGGCCGGCTCAGACCCTAACCTCCTCCTGGAAACCAAGCTGCCAGGGCTGGCCAGTGGGGGATGGCAGGGGGCAGGAAGGAGGAAGTCTAGGAGCCATCAGGCCAGCAGGTCATGAGAGGGCTGGGCCGGCTGGCCTCCGACAGCCAACCAGGGGGCACAGTCAGCCAAGCCATGACTCAGCCTGTGTCATCAGACCCCTGAATCAATGGAAAGTCGGCCCCGCGTGGCCCGACCCGGTCACCCCACACTGTGCCTAGGAGAACTCGGGGCTGGGGATTGAGGGAAGGGGGAGGTGCCATGGCCTGACTCTGTGCACCAGCCTGGAGGAGGTACAAAGAGGCCTCCTGGGTGCCCACCCTTCAAAGTGCACTTCCCCGAAAGGCGAGGACTTGCATCCCTGGAAATGCATCTGCCTGGGCTAGGATTGGCTGCGCAGCTGTGCCCTGGGTCTGGCTGTCCTGACCCGGCCAACAGAGGGTCTGATTCTGGATCCATGGGCTTGTTTACCCTGACCCTGGTGGCTGGAGCTCTGTCTCCGGCTCCGGCTGTCCCCCCACTGGCTGAGGACCTGGTGTACGGAGTGCATGAAGCGCTGGTAGCCGCGCAGGAACCTGCACCCATCCAACCTGTCTTGGAAGATGCCCTGGGTGGGGGAAGGCAGTGACGGTGGTGGTAGGGTTCTGGGGCTGGCCTGGGTGGGCTCGGAAGCCTTGAGCAGCCCGATCATGCAGGAAAGGTTATTCTTGAGCCCCTTCAGATACAAGATGGCGGTCTGCAGTTGCTCAGGCAGAGAAAATCGGTTCTTCCAGGCCTCCAGTCTGGACAGGACCCGGTCCGAAGTGGCACTCACAGTCATCAGCAAGCCCCGCCTGCTCAGCGTGCTTAGGGCTTCCTCGCTTGGGAATGCTCCAGGACCTTCAAGATGCTCTTTGCAGGACTCGTTCAGTGGGGGCTCCCCCAGGCCTCGGGAAATGACCTGAGGGGAGACAGGGGTGGGAGGAATGGTGTCAGTGGTGCAGCTGCATAGAAACATCAGGCCGAACGCTGGGCCCTGGATATATATCCATCTCTCCAGTCAGCAGGTCATGGGGACCACGGGCGCTAGTGGGGTGGGAGGATGAGGATGTGTGAGTGGTGACTGGGGACTTCAGGGGTGGGGGGCAATGGGAGTCCTCAGTGGAAGAGAACTTGGTTTTGCTTCCATCTATGAGCAAAACAGATGTACAGGGGATAGGCTGCTGGCCCAGGACCTGGATGTGGCCATGGCCTTGGGGCAAGGGAAGTGGTATTACCACCCCCTAGCTCCCCAGGGCAGGCTGAGAATAACATAGGACTCAGTTTCCCCAGCCACCCCCTACTATGTCCCTTCCAAATCCTCTCCCCACCCTGCCCACCTTCCCAGGGCTGGGAACTCACATAAGGCTTCAGGAGGTTCTCAGGGTTCTGTAGATATGTTGCCTGGTTCTGCAGCTGGCTGAGGAGCTGGGAGTATGAGGACAAGCAGGTGCACCTGACCGTGGTGATCAGCAACAGGAGTCCAAGGCCCACACCTGGGGAGAGAGGGGAGGCTGTCACTCCTGCGCCCGGCTTTGTGGGGGTGCCATGAGTACACAGGAGCTGCTGCCAACGCCTCCCAATACTTCCACCTCCTGCCCGCCTCCCCTGTGAGGCACCTGCAGGGACCTGAAACCTAATGGGAAGGGCCAAGCCTGGTTGTTTTAACCGAGTGGTTCTCTAAGCAGGGCTGGCAGAGGATGACCCAAGGAGGACAGCGGCTCCTGCCAAACCATTCCCCAAGCTAAGGGCTGCTCCGGGACCCTAACTTGTCAGCCACCCTGAGCCCTGCCCCCACTCCCCATGGGCCCCTAACAGACCTCGATGCCCCATGCAGGTGGGCTTTGAGGCAGGCTGTCCAAGACCCAGGAGAGGCAGCCTCTCTGTCCAAATGGTCAGTTTGGAAAGGCCACGGAAAGTGCACATGCCCATTTGACGGATGGATAGATCAAGTCTCAGTGGGAAAGGGCCAGCCTGGGTCTTGGCGAGCAAGGGTCCCCCTGATTTGCCTCCCTCTTCTCTGCAGGAGTAGCCACCTCTGTTCCCCAGGGATGCTACGAACCACACTGAAGGTCTCAGGGGGGCGGGCCCAGTCGTGGCTCTCACCACACACCCCACCCCACCGCCGCCGCCAAGCCCCAGCAGCCACGTGGTCGGAAGGGGCTTGTGGCGCAATGGTCCGGAAGGTGGTGACACCATCGTTCCCTTCCTACGAACAGTCCAAACCCTTGGGGGAAGACTGGCTGGTGAGAAGGGCTGGAGGACCGGCCAAGGGGGTATGCCTGCCACCTCCCCCTCCCTGGGACTTAAACTGAGGGCCCAGCTGCCTGTGTGTGTACACACGGGAGCAGGTGTCTGCCGGGTCTGCCGTCTCTGCTCACTGGGCTACGGGGCTCAGCCTGGTGAACCTAGGGTCTTTGGATAACATTGCAGGGGTGAAGGGGGAGCAGCAGGGGGAGTGGGAATCTCTGTACAGCTGTGACTGTGGGCAGGGGGCTGTGCATGTTGCGTGACTCTGGGACCCTAACTTAGTTGCCTCTCTATTCATCCCAGCTGTGCAAATCCGATCGGGGCAAGAAGGAGCACCCCTCCACACACACACATACACACACCGTGGGTCCCTCACATCTTGCACCACTTCCCTGCTCTGCTTCTTCCGCTAGCCATTCGCCTCCCTCCTGTTTCCCGCACTTTCGTGCTCCCAAGACTGCCTCTGCATCACCTCCCCTTTGGAAGCCTCACAAGGGGGTAGCCCTGCTTCACCTGTGCGAATGAGGGGTTCTCAGTGGACCCATCCTTTGGCCCGGCCTCCTAGCTCCTGTCTCAGCATCCTTCAGTCCATACTCGGTCTCTCCAGGAGAGGAGAGAAGATGGGGCAAGGGGGTGGGGGGGCTCCGGCTCAGCAGCTGTGGCGGTGGGAGGAGGAAGGAAGCGGTACTCACTGAACAGCGACCTCCATGGGAGTGGTGCCCGCATGCTGGGTGCCCGCGCTCTGGCCCCGTGCCTGCTGTGGGGGACGCCTCCCGACTAGGGAACCCTGCGGACTGGCAGCCACTTTATGCCCGCCCGGGGGTGATTGGCCAACACCTCGTGAGGTGGGTGGGGAGGGGGTGGGGGGAGGGCAGGCCTTCTGGGAACATGACCCCAAAAACCAGACTTTCCACAGGCGGCCAATGGGCGCTGGGCGCGGTGCTGTGCCCGCTCCTCCTCCTGCTTTCTTCGAATTCGTTCTTCGAGGTCAGCCCCACGCCCAAGGATGATGCAAACTGCAGCCTCAGCCTCTCTTTCTCGGACTAAAGCAGGGAGCAGGGGGTCCCCACGGCATGGCAGTGGGAACGAGGCATCATGAGCCTCAGGTCTCCGGAGGCCACCTCCCCCCACCAGCCCAGTGTCCAAGCAGGACTCATGGGCCTCATGGGTCACAGGGGCCAAGGACAGCGAGACATCCTCCTTCTGGAGTGCCCATGCCGCCCTCTTGCTGGGGCAGTTGGGACATCTGTGAGCGGAAACCACACTGGGCTGCGGGCACAGAGCCAGACCCAGGCCGGCAGCCCCTGGGGTTGTGGGGGTTCCAGCCCTGGGACCAACATCACCCCAAAGCCTGGCTCCTGCTGTCTCCATCTCCCCTCCCACGCCCCCATCCTGCACCTGCCACCAGCCTCCCCCTAGTCGAGGCCTACAGCCCACAGCAAGGTCCCTGCCTGCTGACCAGGTCCTCTGTGGGTACGTGGAGGTTGGGGGTAGGACTAGACCCTTGGAAGAGAGAGGTGAAGAGGGTTAAAGCCAGCTAGCGTGCTGTGTGACCTGAGGCAAAGCAGTCAGCCTCTCTGGGCCTCAGAGCAACCTCACCCAACCCCCCTCTCCACACACACACCTGTAAAATGAGAAGCAAAGCCCTTGTCCGCCCACTCCTTAAGGCTGAAGCCATCACAGACATAAAAGGCAAAAAGACCTCTCTGGGAAGGGAAAGAGAAAAGTTTAAACTAATTCCAAGTATTTGTAGCGGTGGGGCGGGGGTTGGGGGCGCGGGCTGGGACAGGCGAGCCGTGGAGGAGGAGGTGGGGAAGCTGTGAGCTCAGAGGGGAAGCCGCCGTGGAGGGGAGGCAGTCGCCCGCCCCCGGTGACGGTTGGGGACCAGGTTTCACTTTCTCTGAAAGATAGCAATCGTGGGTTGGTTCTGCGCTTGTCTGCACATCAGAGGGGAAGGAAGCAAACCTGTAAAGGCACCTCCCCACTCAGGTGCCTGCTGTCAACTGAGACCCCAGCCATGCACAGCCAGGCCTGACAAGGGGTCCCAGACCTGCCCCCCTCCAGAGCCAGGACGACTGAAGGCTGAGCGTGCAGAACCCTGGACCAGGGATGCCGAGGGCAACCAGGCAGAGACACGCCCACCACACACGTTTCACATCCCATGAGCTCATCTTGCAAGTCCTGTGGCAAGGGAGGGAGAGGAAGTCCAAGTGCTGAGAAGCTCAGGGCCTGGTCCCTCTCAGCCACCTGGAGCTGGAACTAACAGAAAAGGGCACTCTTGGTGCAGGAACCCATCTCAAGAGAGCTTGAATATAAGGCTTTGCCTCAGTTTGCACAAAGGGCTGGTTCCAAGACTTCCCCCCCTCCTCTACCCCTTCAATACCCACCAACAGATGCTCAAGTCCCTTCTATAAAGTGACACAAGTCTTTGCACCAAACCCACATGTCTTTTCCCATCCATGCCACATCATCTCTTGATTACCCACAATGCAAGATACAATGCAAATAATATGCAAATAGCCAAATAGCCACCCCACTGAATCGTCTAGGGAATGCCGATCCCATGACAAGTCAGTACAGTAAAAATGGAATTCTGGTCCCCTTCTATCTCCCCAGATGACTGCAGCTCTGGGTTCAATCTGCAGAGACAGAACGTGCAGGGACCCAAAGCCTCAATGTCCAGTATGCATCATGTTCTGAAGATCTAGAATTGAGGCCTGAGGCAGGCAAGCAGGCAGGGCTGGTCCCTGCCCAGACCCTACCAAATTAGTAGGTGGCTTCTTGCTTACTCCTCACACGACTCCTGTCGCTGGCTCCATGCATCCTCCGTGTCTTCATGTCTTCTTCGGAAGCCTTGCCTATTTATTGGATGAGGCCCGTACAAAGAGCTGACTCTCCTTTGAGTGACCTGGATCCAGATAAGGGATGCAGGGGTAGGGAGAAGGGGAGGCCAGGTCTGGAATAGGCTAGGTGCGTCAGCTGTGTGCTGGTGAGGTCAGCGCTCAGTGACGTCCCCACCGCCACCAGCAGGAAGGTCTTGCAACACTGCGTGGCCAGTATAAATAGGCTTCCCCAACCACAGGCCCAGGGACGTCCCTTCTTCCCTGGGGCCACGTCAGCTGGGTCCACATGATTTGGAGAGGAAGAGAGGATGGGTTTGGTTCCTCGCAATTGCTGCTTCTTTGTTTTTCCAACCCCTTGCACTTCCACCTATGCCTTCAAAATGCAAGGGCGGGATTTGTAAATGACCTGGGGTTTTTTTTTGGGGGGGTGTCCTGTCAGTCCAGGGTGATGGGCAGTAGCAAGCAGGGTACCTCCCTCCTGGACTCTGCATCCAAGCCGAGCCTCACACTCGTACATCCGCAAGAGTACCTGCTCACAGCGCTGGCGAACAAAGCCCCAGGGTCTGTCCATAGGAAGATATACTCACATACTGGGCCCTGCCATGCAAAAGTGTTTTTTTGTAACTTTTTGAAAGATTTATTTGTTTTTATTAGAAAGTCAGCTATATATAGAGAAGAAGAGACAGAAAGAAAGATAAACAGAGAGGAGAGACAGAGAGGAAAAATCTTCCGTCCATTGACTCACTCCCTAAGCAGCCACAATGGCCAGAGCTGTGCTGATACGAAGCCAGGAGCCACTTCCTCTGGGTCTCTCATGCAGGTGCAGGGTCCCAAGGCATTGAGCATTCCTCAACTGCTTTCCCAGGCCACAAGCAGGAAGCTGGATGGGAAGCGAGGCTGCCGGGATTAGAACTGGCGCCCATATGGGCACACATAAGGCGAGAACTTTAGCCACTAAGCTACCACACCAGGCCCCATAATTTTTTTAAAAGTTCATATTTATTTTATTTGAAACACAGAACAAGAGAATCTTTCAGCCACTGATTCACTCCCCTCAAAGGTCCCCAACAGCTACAACCAGATTCCATCTGGGGCTCCCACATGGGTAGCAAGGACTCAAGTACTTGGGTCATCAGCCTCTGCTGCCTCCCAGGTGTGTGAGCAGGGAGCCAGATCAGAAGTGGAACAGCTAAGAGTGGAAGTGGCACTGTGCTGTAAAAGGTGGGAGCCCCAGGTGTTACTGTGTCTCACTGGAAAATGTGTAAAGTGGAAGGAAGAGAGGAAGGCAGGCTGGAAGGAAAGAAGGAAAGAAGGAAAGAAGGAAAGAAGGAAAGAAGGAAAGAAGGAAAGAAAGAAAGAAAGAAAGAAAGAAAGAAAGAAAGAAAGAAAGAAAGAAAGAAAGAAAGAAAGAAAGAAAGAAAGAAAGAAAGAAAAAGAAAGAGAAAGAAAGAGAGAAAGAAGGGCCCAGCATGGTAACATAGCAGCTAAAGTCCTCTCCTTACACACACCAGGATCCCATATGGACCCTGGTTCTAACCCCAGCAGCTCCAGTTCCCATCTTACTCCCTGCCTGTGCTCTGGGAAAGCAGTGAGGACGACCAAGGGCTTGGGACCCTGCACCCGCGAGGGGACCTGGGGAAAGTTACTGGCTCCTGGCTTCGGATCGGCTTAACTCTGGCCGTTGCAACCATTTAGACAGTGAATCATCGGACAGAAGATCTTCTCTGTCTCTCCTCATCTATGTATATCTGACTTTCTAATTTAAAAATGAATAAATCTTTCAAAAAGAGAGAGAGAGAGGAAGGAAGGAAGGAAGGAAGAGAGAGAGAAGGGAAGAAAGGAAGAAAGGGGTCTGGTGCAGTAACCTAGTGGCTAAATCCTCACCTTGCACATGTCAGGATCCCATACGGGTGCCAGCTCATGTCCTGGTAGCCCCGTTTCCATCCAGCTCCCTGCTTGCAGCCTTGGAGAACAGTAGAAGATGGCCCAAGGCCTTGAGACCCTGCACGTGTGTGGGAGACCCAGAAGAAGTTCCTGGCTCCTGGCTTTCAATCGGCTCAGCTCCAGCCATTGTGGCCACTTGGGAGTCAGCGGATGTAAGATCTTCCTCTCTCTCCCCTCATCTTTGTACATCTGCTTTTCCAATAAAAATAAATAAATATTTAAAAAAATAAAGAAAGAGAGAGGGGGAAGGAAGAAAGCAAACAAGAGCAAAGCAGGAAAAGGTGATGGCAGGTGGGAGAAGCCAGACCCAACAGCCCACAGCCTCGAGTCCCGTGGCATGAAACATCTAGAAAAGAACAATTCATGCAAGGCAGAGGAATGGTCACTGCTCAGAGGAGCTGGGGGACCCAGAGGCCTTTGGGGTGATGATAAAAGTATCCCGCCCCCGATTCACACAGCAGTGGCTCTTGCACACCCACTGACACGCATGTGTGAACTATACCAGGGATTCTGGGACTTCCACAAACACTTTGTAAGCGAGACAGCTTAGGACTGTCAGAACATTCGATGAGACCCGGCGCGTACCCAGCAGCCCCCGTGGCAGCCGACAGTGCATATTCACTTATGTCACAGGGTGGCCATCTCAGGGTGGTTGGGTAAGGCCCGGTTGCATAAACGCTGGGGTGAGTGCGGCTCCGCCAGGCGCCTGCCCCCGGAGGTCATGGAGGTCATGCCGGGCCCTGGGGATCCCTGGGCTGGTAACCAGGGAGCCTGGCCTGTCCATGGCTGCAGTAAACCATGTCCACCTGTTCCCAGCGCCTTCCTGCCAAGGCTGGATAACCAGCCCCCTTCCAGGGGAGGTACAGGTTAGGGCTCCTTTCTTTTTGTTTTTAAGGTGAACGTACTGAAAGGCAGAGCAACAGGAGGGAAGTGAAAGAAAAGAGAGAATAAGAGAGAAGAGTCTATCCTCTGATTCACTGGCCTCAATAGCCAGGGTAAAGCTGGG